GGACACCTCTCTAAGAACACCCCTGAAATGAGGACACCTCTCTAAGAACACCCCTGAAATGAGGACACCTCTCTAAGGACACCCCTGAAATGAGGACACCTCTCTAATAAGGACACTTTCTTCCGTCCCATTGTGGCGGAAGTGCTTCACCGTACGTTCGGGATTCTCAATCAATCAGGAATCTTTACACTACAAACTCTTGTCTAGGAAGAAGTCCCTCATTTGGAGTGAGGAGGAGCAGCTGTCACTTACTGCGCGGCAAAGATGAGGAAGTCTGCGATGACCTCGAGGAAGAACTCCGGAACAACTGCAAACTCCACTGGGACGCTCTCTGGCAGCGGGAGGGAGGGACTGAGGGTGGGAGGGAAAGGGTTAAATAACTCTCTCCCTCACACTGCTTTCCTCTTTCTCTCCTCTCCTCTCTGTCTCCCTCTCTTTCACATCACAGGAAGAACGTTTTAATCTCTGCAAAAGTTTTATACTTGCTTTTTACTGATTTTAACTCCTTTATCCCCCTTCTGACGTATTTTCTATTATCTCCTCTACCTCTCCTCATCAGGTCCAGCCAGTTGCAGACACAGCCACCTTGCCAGCTGACAGAGAAAGGTCATGGTGAGGCCCAGGGTCTCGGTATCTTCTAGAATCAGACCTTCCATGTTGGTCACCATCTTCTGCAGCACACTCTCTCTCCCCTTCAGCTGCTGGGACACCTGCCAGCATACATCATACTTTTAACACCCAACATTGCAGAGTTGTTCAATGCAGACATCCCTGAAATGAGGACACCTCTCTAATAAGGACACCTTTTTCTTAAGAGCATGCAATTCAACCCTTCAAATAGGGACATCTCACTAATATGGACACTTTCTTCTGTCCCACTAGTGTCTGTATTAGAGGGACTCCACGCTCATTCATCAGGCCACGCCTACCTGTGAAGGGACATTCCCTAGACGGAGGTTTCTCCTTATTTGGTAGAGCTCTCTCCTCAGTTCTCGAAGGTGGCGGATGGCCGTTGTCCACGTGAGGTGAACGCAATGTACCGTCATTAGGAAACATTCCGTGGGGAACTTCACTTGCCCCGATAACACTCCTCTCGTCTCTGTGATTACATCACCACGACGTAATGGTTGAGCACGACGTAATTTTATTACATCATCATAGTATGTTTCAACATTATGTATGCAAGTGTAGTTTCACTGGCTGGCATTTTACCGGGGGACTCAATTTTGGTGCAGGCTGAAAACGCAGCAAAGTCACATTGGGATTACGTGATAGTGAGGTAATGGTGATTACATCATAATTAGGTAATGGCGGCTCACCCAGTTGTGATTGAGTGTCGGTGAACCATTTAGATGAGCAGCAAATTCTGGTTTCAGAGGAAGTGAGTTCTAGTCTTGAGTTGGGTCTGTAGAGATAGTGAGGATCCACCTTGGGAGGATGGGAGGGAGAGGAGGGAGGGAGAGGAGGGAGAGGGAAAGACAAGGAGAAAGAGCGGAGCAAAGAGAAGATGACAAGAGAGAGTACTGTGTAAAGCAGCAATATTTCTGAATGTTTTTTGCGAGCGAACGCGAGTGCAAAATATCAGTGTTTAAAACAGCAAAATCCCGTATTCAGACCACTGTACAGGTTCAGGTTGCTTGCAAACCAGCTGTTCCATATGAACACACAGAGAGAGTACGTAAACTATTATTATACCATGGATGGTTTGATCTTGTCGCACAGTTTCTGCATGACGACAGAGAGATTCAACATGAACCCGTCACTGCTGACTACGTGTCGATCAACCTATGTATAAACACAGCACACATTGACACCGCTTGACACAGTTAACGCAGCCCCAACACATCCGGTGACGCAACTCACATGCAGGTTAGCCCGGCGAGAGTTGAGTGAGAGCGTGGCCTGAAAGAAGTCCAGCGCCTTGGACCTGGTCTCCGTGCATCTGAGGACACTGTGAAGCACCTTGAACATCTCGTTCTATGGAGGTAAAGAGAGGTTGGCACAACAACTGAACTTTTGACGACATGAACATTCATTAACCTCATAGACTACTGTATATACATACATGTGTGTGAATCATAATGTGGTAGGTTGGGCTCAAGCAAATGGTGTATAGTTTTCATGGGTAATTAGCGAAAATTTGGTATTTGTCACTACAACAGTTTGATGCATACTTATTTCATGAGCACATCACTCATTATCAGACACACAAGTCTTCCTCTCCCTCCCTTCCCCTCTTTCTCTCACCCTGCAAATGTTCAATTTCTGAGTGATGGTCTCGGTCAGAGCAGACAGTGCCTCGTTGGGTGTGTGACGTGGGTGGAGCTTGTCGGTTGGCCCCGCCCACTCCAGGAGGAGGCCCGAGAGGGAGAGAAACGGACCAATCAGAGTCTGGAATTGGAGGGCGTGGCACCCCTCATCGGAACTTGTCAGCCACAGCCGATCAGACGTCATCTGCAAAACCCGGGGGAAAAATCCAAAAAAATCGTGAACTGACATTTGTCTGAAAAGGGACAAATGACAGTTTGTACGAATTTTCAAGCAATTTCAAACATAATCTAAAGCATCTACCGAAGGAACATGAACATGCTAGTATGTAAGCAAGTGATTATCCATAATCAAAGAGGAGTTGTATAAAATCTGACCAGAGAGCAAATGGGTCGAAAGTTCCCCTCAGATTTGACACTGGTGAGCTCGGAGATGGCGAAGAAGATGTCGCACACATTGTCACAGAGAGGGTTGGCATGGAGAGCGAGCTCCTGGAGGTTCACCAGGAGGGGATGGAACACCTGGGTGGAGGGAAAGGGTTAAACAAGAAATAGGTAGCTGTACGGTAGACTCCACGTGATAATGAGAGTTAAATTACTTTGTGGTGTAGTGGTCAAGACAATGTGTACGTTCAAATCAGCTCAGTTACAGGGGGGAGGGGCTTACAGAGTGGAGGAGGTTCTCGTCGGGGAGGGAGTGGGTGTGGCAATGGAGGATGAGATCAGGGAGGAATCCAGTGGGCAGAGGAGGGTGGGAGAGGAGGTGGGGGAGAAGGAGGGAGGGGCACTCTGACCTGGTGAGTGCAGAGAGAAACCTCTGAATATGAGACAACGGAAGTGTCTCTGTTCCTACATTATGTATATACCTCACTGTATATACCTCACTGTATATATGTACCTCACTGTATATACCTCACTGTATATACCTCACTGTATATATGTACCTCACTGTATATACCTCACTGTATATACCTCACTGTATATATGTACCTCACTGTATATATGTACCTCACTGTATGTACCTCACTGTATATACCTCACTGTATATACCTCACTGTATATATGTACCTCACTGTATATACCTCACTGTATATATGTACCTCACTGTATATACCTCACTGTATATATGTACCTCACTGTATATACCTCACTGTATATATGTACCTCACTGTATATATGTACCTCACTGTATATACCTCACTGTATATATGTACCTCACTGTATATACCTCACTGTATATATGTACCTCACTGTATATACCTCACTGTATATACCTCACTGTATATATGTACCTCACTGTATATACCTCACTGTATATATGTACCTCACTGTATATACCTCACTGTATATACCTCACTGTATATATATACCTCACTGTATATACCTCACTGTATATATATACCTCACTGTATATACCTCACACTAAGGTAATACACACTTGTGTATGGGGCTTAACCAAGTGTCCTTTATAGAGAGGTTTCCTATATTCCGAGGGTTTTTTCATAAAAGCAGAAATAGAGTGGATGCCGGTGTGGGTACATAGCTAAACGTAGGATGAGTGAGGAGAGAGAGAGAGAGAGACAGAGAGAGAGAGAGAAGTAAGCTACAAACGTGGGTATCTGGAGGTGAGGAGGGTCCAGCCAGTCAGTCAGAAGGAGGGACGAGAAAGAGACAACAATCTGAGACACGACCGACAACACCGCAGCTCTGTCCACCTCAGGAGACCTGACCTGTAGGCCACGGAATGGGGGAATGGGGAATGAGTGCTATTTTAAAAACTCCCATACTTTGAGAGTGGAACGAGACTCGTGCAATGATCGGTCATAGCAGTCCAGGAGGTAGGCCATTGCTCCCTCGCCTGCGATCTGATTGGTCAGTCTGGGAGCAAGCGACGAGGAGGGGGCGGAGGAATGGGTGTGGTCAGCGAGATAGGACGGGAGGGAGGAAGGACCATCTGCCACCGTCGTGCCTTGATCCAATCTCGCCTCGTGGAAAAGAGGGATTCTCTCCATTAACAGTTGAGACGCCAAGTCCCTTACGTCTACATAGGCTGGGGAGAAAGATAGAAATTTCTTCTCCATTCCTTCCACCTCCCTCCCTCCCTCCATTCACTCTTTGTCTTCCATTTTACATCACTAACTCTTCTCTTTACTCCCTCTCTCTCTCTCTTGCACACACACACACACAGTTCACAAAGCTTTACTCTATCTGCCTTACCACTTTCTCCAAGATCTCTCAGCTGTTGTGACAACTGAGGTAGAGGGACAAAGTCTTTGCTGCCAGCTCCGTTAGAGCCCGTCTGAATAATGGGAGAAATAATTGTCTCTATTTTGTCTCTATTATGATGGTTTTATAGAGTTTATATATAATATAGACGCTTCACTTGTTAATCACAAAAAAGGAGAAGAGAATTCGAAGATGGGAAAAGAGACTTACTACTGGAAGGGAGACTCTGAAAATCTGTGACAGGAGTGAGATGAGTGACGAGTGAGGGGTGGAGGGAGAGGGGAGGGAGTGGGCCCGTGCCAGCTCCCCCGTGTAGCTCCGTTTGGCTTTGGGCCGGATCACGTGATCCGTCAGAATAGTGGGCGTGGTCCTGGGACTACGGGCCTTCTTCTGACGGTGCAGTGGGAGAGGCTCCACCTCCATTACATCACCACGCTGTAATCCATATTATAATTTCCCTTATTGAAGGTTTCACTATATTCTAAACAAAAAACTGACGGTGGCTGATGAGGTGGGTGTGGCCTTGCGTCCCTCGGGGGAGGTGGTCTTGGTGTGCGGGAGGGTGGAGGTGCCTGGGGAGGGTGTGAGGGAGGGAGGGGAGGAGCCTTGTAGGGACAGACCCCCGAGCCTCTGCAGCCTCCGATGCCGCATCTGGACCAACACACGAGGCATGGAGGCGTGAATGAAGAGAGCACGTGACCTTATTCTAAACTAGCCTTTAACTTTATACACAGACGATGATAAGTATATACCTCCTCTTGGCTGAGTTCCGTAGGTTGGGAGGGAGTATCACTCATGTTCTTTAGCTTCTCACGCCCTTTAAGACCTCGAGAGAATACGGGAGCACAGTGCAGAGTGACACAGACGACTCTTGCCTCTCGTATGTGCCGCCTAAAAAACTTGCTTACTCCTTTCCCACGTTGCCCCGAGCGTTGCCCGCGTTATAGAGTCGGTGGGCAATAATTAGAATTTATGCCGCGAAGATGTGGTGCGCTAATTAGAAGTAGAAGTGCACTAATTAGAACAGTGCTCGCATGGCGACGAAGCCGAGCGGACAGAGCTACGAGTACGTGTTGTACGGGAGCGTGTCTCCGGCCAACCACGCGGCGCTGCTCCACAGACTCCGCGGGCTCTGCACAGGAGCAACGACAGGCGGGTCTACCTTCACCGACCGTGAAATCACGTACAAAATAGGTTCCATATTGAAATCAAGGTCTCATACAGTTCTCTATTTATAACTGTTTTTGTTGTTTTCTGTAGAAGCAGGCGCGGCCAGCTCCAAGGTTAAAGTCAGACAGTCTCTTGATGCACCAGACGCTCCATGGTACACCATTATTTGCCTTCTCCCCATCTTCCATTCTTGATCTCTCTCTCTGGGAGATCAGGTTGCTGGTGTACCATGGTCAGCTGGAGCTGGGGGACAGCAGCAGAGCAGCTGGAGTGAGAACGGTTGTCTCTGCAGCCTGCAGCCACACCCTCACCGACTGCCTCTCTTATCTGGGGTTCATGTGAGCTTAAAACCTTCCGCCCCTACCTTCAACTTTACCCTTTTAAAAAGAAGATGAAGTTTTAACTTTCTTTACGATCGGGAGAATTGCTATAATGTTTTATAGGCAGTGTTTGTGTCTGTCTGTCTGTCTCCATTCCGTGCCAGGCCCATAGGAGAGCTGGTACTGAAAGGCCAGGTATTCAGGAAGGGAGGGGTTAAGGTTTTGGTCTTCACAATGTATCAGGTAAGGAGAGGATTGATACTGTAGGTTTTGTAAAAAAACTTTAGTGTTGCTTTCATGCCCTCCTGCTTCTCCGATCTCCCTCGCCCCTTTTGAAATGTGTATATAGCATTTGATGGCCTGAGAGAAAAGTTCACTTTAAAAAACGTTGTTTTTCTTCCTCCCTCCCTCCCTCCCTCCCAGCCCAGCGATGTGACAGACCTGGACTCCATCCAGCCGTTCTCTCAGAACTATCTTGTGGAGCTGACTGCCTTTGCATCGTCCAGTCAGGACAGAGCCATCGACGAACTCAGGAACTTTGCCGAGTACCTCAAACCGTATCCTACTCTACCAGACGTACTAAAAATGTCCAATCCACCACTTTGGAGGGAGAGCGAGTGTGTCTTGGTGGTTGCTGTTACTCTATAGTCTGAAAGATTGAAATACAAAATTCTCTCGTTGCAACTGCATTTTCACTAGTGATTTTACATTTTTGGTGAATCAATCCTGTATTGTCTCTGTGTCAGATATTCTGTTTTCCCTCTCTCGCCCCTCGTCTCTGTCTCATTTCCTCCCCTCCCTGGCATTCCCACACACCATGGTTCCCACACACCATGGTTCCCAACTCTAAGAATTCACATTTGTGGTAACTTGGTGGGTGTCTCAGCCAAGATTCTCTGTGTACCAACTGAGGCTAGTGGCTATTGTCTGTCTCATTACGACCCTATTCACACTTTCTACCACAGGCTTTCATACCCCACATCTCTGCTTACTCCGCAGCGTCACACACCGTCACACCCCATGGCATGTTACTCTCAAAGGTTGCAAATATAATTTCACTTGATAATGTCTCATCGTCGCCATACAACATCGTCCCACATACAGTATACAAAGTTCCATGTGGAGAAAAATTTTGTAGACGGATCTAAATTTTTGAGTATTTTTCCACACTTGAAAGTTTCGCCTCTCTAATGCAGCCTGTATGTCTCTCTACTGTTGCACTGTTTTCCTTGACAGCTGCTTTCCTCTCAGTATTGTACAGATGGAAAAGACAGACGGACTGAGGTAGCTAGCGTCACTCATCCCTTTCTATGTCATGTTATACTTCATATATACACACTGTGACAGACTTTGCTTTTCATTTGAAATTCAGTTGCCATGACAGACCAAAATTCAGCTGCTATGTAGTCGGTTGATCAGTTCTACAATATATGGAATTTCTATGACGATTGTAGGGCCGCCCACCGTCTCCACCAAATATTCCTGGAATGCGGGTGCGGATGGGATAATGAGATTCATAGCATTGCTCAGAATAATTAGCGGTTGTCTCTGCCGGTTGTGGGCGAACGGAACACAAAGAGAAGAAGTCGCCAATATGAGTTGCTAGCTTCCGCACTGCTGTCATAACACTACTGCTGTCGACTATATAGAGTGGACGTGCGGCGCCGGAGGTTTTTCGCAGCTGCAGTCACAGAGATGAATACCCTACTGGGCGAACTAGGTGAGGAAGTGGCGAAGAAACTCGCTCTCTCGCGGCGTCCATGTGTGCGGGTTGCTAGCTAGCTGTACGTTTCTAGAGTCGAACAGGCCCTCACACGTCTCTGTGTAAATGTGTTGACCTGCAGCGACCCTGAACGACGTGCAATACCAGCGGTATCGAGTGGCCTTCAAGTTCAGGAAGCTGCAGAAGAATCTATTCCGTAAGTCAGTTTACCTAGCTACATAAGCTAGCTCGGGAAGGGAGGGAGGAGGAAGACGAAAGGGCACGCAGTTAGCAAGCTCAGTAAGCGGATATACGAACGAGAGTCAAAGGGGGGGCTTGGCTTTTGCTTGCTTTTCCAACCCCCAAGGTCGACTTTTCTCAAAATAACGGTGTATTTTTCAAGTAGACATTTGTGCAAATATAAACCTGAAAATAGAAGTTTTGATTTCAGATTGTGTGTATATACCTGGTTCATAATGAAACGGCTAATGGAGCCTCTGCTTCTATATACAGGATTTCCCGATTAGTGAAAAGTTCTTGTTGTCCAGGAACATTAGTTTACAAGCTACGATACAACACACTGCTGGGGGGCAGCGTTGCGGAATCCTAGTACATGCACCGAGACACTATAGTAACTGTGTAATTGTGGGACATGTGATTCTGGTAGAATTTGACCTCCTCATCATTATCATAAGCTGTTCTCATGATACAGCTGCCTTTGTAGAAGGAAGAGGAGAGAGAAGAGAGAGGGAGAGGATGAGAGAAGAGGGGGGAGAGAAGAGAGAAATATTATACCGTTTTGAGTGGTCATTGTAACGCTGCCAAAGGCAGGCAATGCTGGTGAACAGTGCGATAACAGTACCACTGGTATAGGCCCCTGTTTGCAGCTGATAACTCTGTAGCTAATAATTGTCAGTGTTTTGTGAGTGCACATGACTGGACCATTCAGTTTAGGTGTGTGTGTGCGTCCTAGTTGCCGCGATGATGTAATGATGTAATCTCCCACTACTATAACAGTTGAGTATGGAACGGTGGTGATGCTGAGTGAGGTACTGCACCTCACGGGGCTTCAATCATTACATCACGGTGACGTCGTCCCTCTTTCACAACTGTCGTCGGCACTCACTGAGTTGTACGGAGCAATCAGGACGGCCCGACCCGTATTGAAACCGGGACAGCTGCAAAATGCCCAGGATTGCGCCTTCAACTGGTTCCAGATGGCATATAGGACGTAAGTGTACTGGCTACTTCATCCAGGGACCCTGAGAATAATGGACACCTCTCTATGGAGGACACTCTGGTTCTGCCCCATACTATACCTCTGAATAAGGGACACCTCTCTATGGAGGACACTCTGGTTCTGCCCCATACTACCTCTGAATAAGGGACACCTCTCTATGGAGGACACTCTGGTTCTGCCCCATACTATACCTCTGAATAAGGGACACCTCTCTATGGAGGACACTCTGGTTCTGCCCCATACTACCTCTGAATAAGGGACACCTCTCTATGGAGGACACTCTTGTTCTGCCCCATACTACCTCTGAATAAGGGACACCTCTCTATGGAGGACACTCTGGTTCTGCCCCATACTACCTCTGAATAAGGGACACCTCTCTATGGAGGACACTCTGGTTCTGCCCCATACTAAATACAATATTTTTAACCTCTGAATAAGGGACACCTCTCTATGGAGGACACTCTGGTTCTGCCCCATACTATACCTCTGAATAAGGGACACCTCTCTATGGAGGTAACTCTGGTTCTCTTGGCGTCTTCTCCTCTCTGCTTGTTCTGCTCATGTTGCCCCATA